ATGATTTTTGAATTGGTGTAAACTGAACACCTTATTTATGAATTTTTCCCTTCGTAATAAGGGGAGTTCAGTGAAGAAAATGATGACCTTTTATTTTATTTTAAATTATTTTGAGGGCTAAATTGTAATTTTCGTTAAATTTAATGTCTTTTTTGGAGTTTCCGTTCGAATGGACCCAACATCGGTAAATCAAAGGGTGGTCATGAGCAGCACATTTTAATTGTATTAAATGTCCTTGACTTTTATTCATTGTCACATTAATGTCTAACTTTTTTATTGCATTCTTATTTTTAACCTTTTATTAATTAACACATCTAGTCCCCAATAACGATTTTCGTCTAAACATTATGTTAACTTGCGTTAAATTTAGTCAAAATAATTTTTATTATTTAAAAATATGGAGCAAATAATTCTTTTTTACTCTCTTAACGGAATTTTTGTACGAAAACCGTCACCAAGGACAAGATATGCTAATTAATGGAACGTTGATGATAGAATACAGTGAGAAAGTTATGAACGTCAATCTTACCCTTAACTATTTATGGAAAACTCCTCTCGTCCAATCTTTGATGAAAATATGAATCGAATCTTGGCGTGTTAAGACCTGTCAAAGATAAAATATAAATTACTTCTCCCCGCGCAAATAATGAAGTGTTGAACAACATATCAACATCTAAATGGTATATACTTTAGTACTTAATATTAAAGCAATCAAGGAGTGAACAACAAGGTTTAAAGTGTTTGCCAAATGCAGTTACATCTTTTTGCCTAAAATCTACGTACAGCAGTTTGTCTGAAGCAGCCATTTTTTTTTCAATAATCATGTCTGAAGCAGATTATCATTCTTCAAGTTTTGTCCATTCAGTATCCGGGGCAAGCCGACTTCTTTCTTCTGCTAATCGCTGGAACTCAATCGAGCTCAACTTTACTCTTCCTCCTCAATATTCGTTGGGATTTGATTCCCTCCCTTCAAGATTCTCAAAATCATTTGATTTCAATCTCACAATCAGGGACAAAAGATATTTTAAGCGTTTTGTCTATGTTTTATGCTTGTTTCATTACTGTACTGGTTCTGCTTTTGCATTTCTTGACACACAAGAATTATGAGGATTCACCTTCCCGGAATCTTACAGTTGCTTTGAACCAAGCACTTCTCTTCTTTGACGCGCAAAAGTGTAAAATATCATCGCATTAGTTCAATTGTTTAATTTTTTCTGTGATCTCGTTTCTTGAATTATCATATTAATGTATTTTCTGTTGGAGAGTTTGTATAGAAATATGGATTTTTTGGATGTTGTTTGTCCCACATAGGATAAAAATAGAAAAATAGACTTGTTTATAAGTGTGAAAATAATATACTTAATAAGTGGGATAAAAGACTACACTAATGGGCTTTGGGCTTGAGACATATGATTAGGGCTTGATTGAGCTCCTTATTAGGCTATATAAATATATATAGAGGAAATTACACCCAACCCTACTTTTAAATTACTATTTTCATAAATCCCGATTCAAGTTTCATATTACAAAATTTAGGTTTTAATTATTAATTTAAAAATATTTTTTTTTTCATATCTATTTACAATAAATTAATTTATATATACCCCACCCCACCCCAACCTAACTTAAATCCCTAATTTTTCACGTTCATTTATAACTCTCGTCTCCCTCACCACCCCTCTCTCTCTCGACGGCGCTTCTTCGGCGCGGCACTTCTCCTTCCTCCTCCTCCCCTCCCTCCCGTTTCCCTCTCCCTTCTGCCTCTTCTGTTGCTGCAAATTAGCAGCAGCGCCGCTGCGCGATGCTGCCCTAATTCACAGCAGCGTTGACAGCGACGCTGCTGCAAATTAGGGCAACGTCCACTCTGCTGCAAATGAGCAGCAGCGTCGCTGTGCGACGTTGCCCTAATTTGCAGCAGCGTCGCTGGATGCTGCTACGAATTAGGGCAGTGTCCACGCTGCTGCAAATTAGCAGCGGCACCGCTGCCCTAAAGCTCTAATTCAATGGTGGATCCGCAACTCCTGGATGAAATTGCAATGGCTCCCTTGAAGGTTATCTGGTAAACGGTAATGATTAAATTTTTTGGTCCAAAAGGATAAATTTATTCATAGGTCCTTGTCCTTAGATAGTTGGGTTGATGGTGAATGACTGGAAGG